CTCCATACTGCTCGTCCAATGTATTCCAAGTGTCCTGAGTGGGTAGCATCCAGAATTTACTCGAAACGAAGTCATTTAGAATGTTTTTAGAGCATAAACAGTAGTGTATAGGATTTCCTGAAAGCGCGCACCTGCGCGTTCACGACGCTACGGAAGCCGGCAGACCAAACCAGATGAAAGTGCGCATTCATTGTCTGCTCTGCCGATAATGCAAGCGTAGAAGAAGAAATGTGCTGTTTACCTGTGCAAAGAAAGAAACAACGAAAGAAAAATGTCTGAGGACTTCAGTGTTGAGGAAGAGCATGAGTTCTTTGCCGAGCTGAATGCGCTGGTTTGGTCTGCCGGCTTCAGTAGCGTCGGGATCGCGCATGTGCGCGCTTTCAGGAAATCCTATACACTACTGTTTATGCTCTAAAAACATTCTAAATGACTTCGTTTCGAGTAAATTCTGGATGCTACCCACTCAGGACACTTGGAATACATTGGACGAGCAGTATGGAGGAATATTGACACGTTTTTGTAGACTTTTATTGACCTTTCTGTCTCGGTCACCATAGACCTCCATTATTTGAATGTCAGCAGACAGCAAGAAGCCTCCCAGATCTCCAGATGCATTTGAGATATCAAAAAAGTACTCCAGAGTGTTGTTCAGCATGGGGGTGAGTAGAAAATGAAGGCTAATCATGTTTTGGGTGTACTATTCCTTTAACAATGAAACCACTCACCCCACAAGCGACAGAAAACATCCAGGCCGAGATCATTACCATTACCCATAAGGGAGATCGGAAGCGATTTCCATCTTTCTAGGTCCTCTTCTATCTTTTTAAAAAGAGGGATGTGGTTGAGTTTTGGTAACTCAGCCAGTTTAGATGACACAGTAATTCCCAAATATTTGATATTTCCTGATTGTAGACCTGAGGGATTCTGTAGAGAGCAATTAATTGGTAGTATTATAGATTTTGACCAATTTATAGAGTAATCTGAAACATTTTAGAAAAATTCTAGTAAACTAATCACTTGAGAGAGGCAAGTGTTTGAGTGCTGGAGATAAAGTAATAGATCATCTGCGTAAAGACTAATTTTATGCTCTATTTTCATGCCTTTTATACCTTTAACCACATTAGTTTGTCTGATCCTAGCAGCCAGAGGCTCAATGAAAATAGCAAAAAGTGAGGGGGGGGGCATCCCTGTCTGCTGCCCCTCTGGAGACAAAAGCTGGAAGATGTTGGATTATTTGTCCTGACACAGGCTGTTGGGAAGCTGTAGAATATTTTTAACCAATTTATAAAGGAATTACCTAAACCAAATTTATGTAGAGTAGCAAATAAAAATCTCCAGTTTACTCTATTGAATGCTTTTTCTGCATCTAAAGACAATATATAGGATTTAAGATTTTTGCTGTAGGAATAATCTATTAAATTAAACAGTCTGCGTGTGTTAGCAGCTGACTGCCTTCCTTTAATGAAACCAGTTTGATCAGGGTGGATTATGAGAGGAGTGACTTTATCTAATCGGTTTGCTAAAGTTTTACAGATTATTTTAATATCCACATTAATTAAGGATATGGGACGATAGCTGCTGGGAAACATAGGATCTTTGCCTGGCTTAAGCAGGAGACTAATGGTGGCAGAATTCATATTAACTGGAAATGTGCCATTATCTAGAGTTTCCTGCAGCATTCTGTGGAACGTTGGGGCCAGAATGTTCCAGAACTCTTTATAGAACTCAGTAGGGAACCCGTCTGGACCTGGCGCTTTATTATTTGGCATGCTTTATAATGCTTCCTGAACTTCAGCTGTAGACAGCGGTGAGTCCAAGGTCGCTCTTTGACTCTCTGATAATTTAGGAAGAGTTATTTTATCCAGAAATCGCTTGATATCATTATCTGATGGATTTGACTGTGATGTGTATAAAGATTTATAGAAATCTGGGAAGGCATTGTTAATATCCTCCGGATCCTGTAATGTATTACCAATTGAATCAGTAACTGCAAATATAGTCGTTTTTTCTTTGTTTATTTTTAGCTGATTAGCTAAGAAATTTCCTGACTTATTGCTATATTCAAAGTTTTCTATTCGGAGTCTTTGAGTAACACATTTATTTTGTTTTTCAATATATTCGTTTACTTCTAGTTTTATATATTTGTTTAGCTCTAGTCTAGGATTACAGCATCTGAGACATCAGACAGCAGCGAGCTGCTGATTAGGAAATAGTCCAAACGAGAGTAGGAATGATTATTAGAAAAGAAAGTGTATTCCTTACTGTTGGGATGAAGAGATCGCCATGCATTGCAAAGACCAAAATCACTCATGTATTGTTTGACTACGTTTAATGATTGCCAACTGCGCTGGGTCCCTGTTGTATTCAACCTGTCCATTTCTCCATTTAGTCCAAAGTTGAGGTCACCCCCAATAATTAGAGAACAGTCCCCGTGCTTTGAAAGTGCATGAAAAACTTTGAGGAAGAATGAGGGGTCGTCAACATTTGGACCATATATGCTGACAATACATAACTTTTGGTTATAAATAGATATTTTAATTATGATGAATCTGCCATCAGGATCTATAATTTTGTCTAATAAAGTAAAACTGAGGTTTTTGTGGATTAAAATTGCTACCCCTCTCTGTCTAGAGTTATAGCAGGCTGCAAACACATCAGGGAACTCAGGGGAGTTAAGATCACTTATAGATGCCGCTGATTTATGGGTTTCTTGCAATAAGACAACATCTGCATTTAATCTTTTAAGCTGGTTAAAAATCTTAAGCTTCTTCTCTCTGGTGCCAGCCCCATGCACATTCCATGTCACAA